AATCCCTCCAATTTCAACAGGCCACCACTCAGAGGAAACGAAAGATCGCTGATTCGTTGTATGTTGAGGAGGCTGAGGAAGATGAGCCGGCCAATCGCGATGCCAACTCCTATTTGGACAAGTTGTGGACCTTGTTGTTGGCCTACGCCATGGCGGGGTCCGCCTCCTGTACCACCGCCCCCGGTGTGGCTGAGAGCTTGGGGTCCAATTCCGTGGAGTATGTTGAAGTACCAGTTGATGTTATTCAACAATACTTTTATCGCGCCAAACGGAGTGCCTCCCTCATCCCGTATAATCATCGTCTTGAGTGGCTCCAACAGAGGGACAATGACGAACGGTCGGAGTGGGTTTCCCGTTTTCGGGATAGTCAGAAGAGCCTAGGCCGTGTGATCCAAGAAGTTTATGCCATGCGCGATGCCCACTGGTCAGTCCCGGTTACCACAAGCGGAATCCCCTCGAGTCGTTCCACACCAGAGCCAGTCACCCCAGTGAAGCCCGACTCCAATCGCTGGACCCTGGGGAATCCAATCAATGGGCGCCAGGTGGCTAAGATCCTCAAAGATGGCACACGCCTCTGCCAGGCGTTCCAACATGGCCAGTGCAAGGCCAAAGCCAACTGTGCCAATGGCCAGCACCGTTGTGGGTTGGTCCTGCGCAAAGAGCGCGCCTGTGGCGCCCCGGGGCACGGCGCTGCCGCCTGTCGGGGCGGGAAGAAGTGATGGGGCCCCGAGGGGGAGGATGGGACGGACTCCCCCTTAGGGGACATCGATGCTCCCCGTCCCTTGGTTGCTGACCTGTTCTGTGGGCCCAACCTGCCACTATCCAAGGCTTTCCTTTGGTGCGGGTGGCGCACCCTGTCAGTCGACTGGATGTTGGACAAGTCTCACGACCTTTCTAATCCACTACGCCAGCAGTCCCTACATGAGCAGCTCTCGGAGGTTGACTTCATATGCGCAGCTTTTGACTGCTCTACCAAGAGTCGAGCCAGGGAAATTCCTCGTCCGTTTGAAGACGGCCGCCCATGTCCAGCACCGTTGCGCTCTGAGGAACATCCAGATGGACTACCGACTCTGCAGGGTCGTGACCTTCAGCGAGTTCGCGCGGACAACCAGGCCTGTGAGTTCATCCTCGAGGAGATTCGCCTGCTCGCCGAGCGTGGCGGCGGGTCAGTCCGTGAGAATCCCTGGCGTAGCCTACATTGGTGGGGGTCCACCGAGCGCGCTATGATGGCCACTGGCCGCTGGAAAGACAAGCGGTATGATGCATGCTGTCTGGGGGGAGCTCGTTGCAAGGCGCAGTGCTTGCGTCACAACATTCATGAGATTGAGCAATGGCCGCCGCTTACCTGCCACCATTCTCATGCGCCACACGAATGGACTCCTTACCTTCAGGATGGCCAGACAATCTACCCATCCAAAGAGGAGGCCGAGTACACAGCTGTCTTGGCCTTTGCTATTGCGGTCGCAGCCTCGTGGTGGGCCGGGCGCGTGGGTCGCGCTAAACTGCATGTGCCACGGCTGCCGCAATTCGAGTGTGTCGGAGCCCGTGAACATTGGCTAGATCTGGATCCCCGGGCACTCAGGGAATGGGCGATGGCGCCGCTTGCCCTGGGCATTGGCTTGTATCCCCCCAGATCCCAGTGAGGCCGCCCGAGTCCCTCGTCGAGCTCAGGTAGATGACGTCCTCATCGAGAAGGGCAAGTTGCCGCACGATCATGTCTACGTGGGCCAGGGCCGTGGTTCGCATCGTCTTGCCAAAACCAAGTGGGCCTCCCCAGTCATTCCTGGGCTGAACAGTCAGGCTAATGATTGGTTGTGGTACTATGTTGCCTACCTCTACGAGTCCGGGCTGGTGACCCAAGTGCAAGAGCTGCAAGGCAAAGTGCTGGTCTGCGACTGTCCTTTCTGCGACCCTTGTGAGGCTGATGTGCTTGCAGGCCTTTGTTTCGAGGCGAGCCATCCACAGGGCCGTCAGTCGATGCATCGCTTCAGTCGGGGGGGGGCCCCTCCAGCTCGCCAAGTTCTCCTCGCGAGTATGGCCAGCACGGTCCAGGGTATCCCAACGAGTCCGACACGTTGGTGGAGCCAAGAGGCCCTCGTTCTCGCCTTTCGCAAATTATATCCAGCTCACTTCTTCATGAATTTCCAGTTCCCCATGGTTGAGGACATCATCAACGCTGCCCCGTTCAATGCTTTCCCGGTGTGGCTGCACAATAGGCACTACGAGACTGATGGCCCCCTGGGCCCGCACCTGGCTGATGCCAACGTTCGCCAGACCCTCCGAACTGCCGAGGGCCAGCAAGTGGGCGCATTGAATCAGCGAGCAGCCCTACCCCCCTTGCTGTCTTATGATCTCAGTCCTGATGAACACTTCGCCCAAGCGCTGGCACGGGGTCGCGACTTGCTACCTACCGAGCTACCAGCCGTGCTGGACCTGGACCTGGCTTTTGCAGCCGATTGCCACACTCAGTACCGAGGTCGTCTCCGAGACCTTCGCCGTGCCGCCGTGGGAGCACTTCGAGAACTTCATCGGCGTTGGTGTGCAGTAGGACGCCATCTACGGCAGTTTCAACCTGTCGCCTTGCAGGCGACCACAGCCACCCGTGACCTCGGCTTTGTCGCGCTGTTGATCTTGCTGACGTCATGGCCTGATGTTACATATCCCTTTGGGCTCATCGAAGGCCTGCCGGCAGTCGGTTATGCACCCTGCTACGGCGTCTTTCCATCTCAGCCTGCCGAACGTATTACTCTTACAGAGGTCCTGGCCGGATGCGAAGCACACAACCATCAGATCTTGTCTACCCTCAAGCCGGGTAAAGATGACCTGTTCCTGTTGGAGCAGTCTACAAAGGACGCGGCACGAGGGTTCTGTACCCCTCCCTTGACGCTGGCACAGTTGCGTCAGCAGCTGCAGGGGCAGCCGTACCGCCTGATCCCACGCTGTGTGATCACACAGTCTTCAGGCAAGCAGCGGATCATCGACAACGCTGATGCAGGAGGACAAACCTTACGCTCGGCCGATGCCAACAAGTTGGTGCTTTGCTCACCACTACGACCGGCTCAGCGCATTAGCCAAGTCCTGCGTCAGATGAGCCCCTCCGAGCGAGCCCAGGCAGCCGCCACCGATACCTGGGAGACAGGTGGAGAAGACTGGCCGGATGCCTATCGCCACAGCCCAATGGGAGCCAACGAAACGCGGGGATGCGTTGTGACGTTTTGGCATCATGAATGGGCTGCTCCGGCTTTTCAAGTCTACGCCGGTCTACTATTTGGTCTTCCACTGGCCGTTACATCCTTCAATCGGTACAGCCGTCTTGTAGAGGCCCTGGGACGCCGCCTGTGCTATGTCCTGGTTTCGCTTTACTTCGATGATGCATCTATTCAGGACTGGTCTTCGAGCCGGGGTTCGGCTCAATGGGCATTTGGAGCCTTGAATCAGCTTCTGGGCACCCCTTTTGCAGCAGAGAAACGCCAGGCTATGCGCCCCAAGGGGTTGTTTCTAGGCCTTGACCATGACCTTTCGTCCGCACTATCTGGTGGCTTTGTCTCCTTTTGGGCGAGGGAACGCCTGGAAACCAAGTTGAAGGCCATTATCCATGAATGCCGTGCAACTCAAACTCTCAAGCCCGGTGTTGCAGCTAAGCTGTACGGACTGGCTAACTTCTTCGAGCAGGGCGTCTACGGCAGGATAGGATGTGGAGGTCTCCATGCCATTAAGGAGCGTCAGCTTGTCCGAGGTGATCAACTGACTCCTGCTATCGAGCAATGCTTTCAAATTCTCGAAGCAGTGCTCTCTATCCATCCGGAGCGTGAACTTGATGTCTGGCCGAGACACCATGAGCGCTTTGTGGCAGCGTCTGACGCTGCATTGGAGACCCCCGGTGAAGGGACAGGTGGTTTTCTCCTCGTCTTCTTCCACGAGGACACCGAGAGCCGGCTTGGATTTGTTTCCTAGCTCCCACCGTCCATCTACGTTCTTTGGACCCCAGGAGAGGCTAAGATCGCACAACTAGAACTTTTGCAGGTCCTCATGGCATTGACTACCACACCTGAGCGATTTCGCAATCGCCGTGGCACATGGTACATAGACAACACTGCTGCCTTGATGGTGCTCATCAAGGGAAGGTCAGACAGCCCTGACCTCGAGCACATGAGTCATATGATTCACATTCTATTGTTTTCACTTAGATGTTGGATTTACTTTGAGTGGATCCCCTCCAAATCCAATTGGAGTGACGCCATTTCCCGTGAGGGACATGCGGATCGTTGGCACCACGACCAGGGTTTCACTAGTCGGGAAGCCACATTTTTCGAACCACTCTGGTATTTTCCCTTTTCCGTCACTCTGCGAGTCGGTCTCTTTCTTTGAAGGGAGAAATGCATTGGGTAGATACATCGCTATGGATACGTCTGGGTGGACGAGTCTCCA